GGCTTACAAGAGGGGGGCTAAATAAGTTTTTTCTATAAAGAGGGAGGCTTATTAGAGGGGGGTGGCTTATTAGAGGGGGGTGGCTAATTAGAGAGGGGAGCTTAATAGAGGGGGTGCTTGATAAATTTCTTTGTCTAAAGAGGGGGGGGCTTATTAGAGGTGGGGGCCTATTAGAAAAGAGAGGCTTAATAGAGGATTTACAACAAGTAAAATAATTTTATCCATAACCTGCTACTCCCAAACATCGGTATCCATATTATCCATACCCTTCTCTACACATTTCCTCAGGTACTGACAGCAAGAATTTGTTTCACAATCAAAACATCTTTGGTAATCATTTCCTTTATTTGTGTGATCTTAATGAATGATTCAGCAGTATTACTGTCAAGAGAAATTAAGTGCTGGTCACTCTCAGGAGTTAAATGGTTTAGTCAATAGTGCAGGGCTGAACATTAAGGGTAACCAACTAGCCACAGACTAGTAGAAATTCAGTTTTGGCAAGTGGTTTTTGATTTCCACTAGCCAGTTTGGCTAATAAACAAACTGAAATTGTKGAGACGTCTAAATTGCCACCATCCACTGGGCCAGTAAGTTGAAGAGTTAGTGTTAAGCTCTGTCATGTGTTGTTAGTACAATTCCTGTTGTAAATTTTTTGTTGCATTGTAAGTGAGAAATATTGTATTAAATAATTCCAACCTCTGGCTAATGTCTAATCACATTGGTTTCCTTTGTTTAGGTGAAAAGACCTTCGGTAACTTAGTGCTTATATTTGGACAAAAGGTCATAAGGGCTGTCAAATTACAAGAGGATCCCTCCAATTCAAGTATAAGGTAAGAGAGAAATACTGAATATATTCACTGTTTACCTCTTATAAATCTCTTTTCTCTCTGTTTGAATTCTGAAAATTTTGGCAATAACAGTGACGATAGTTCTGGCTATAAGTATATGTTATCTGTTTGGCAGGAGTGTCATATTGGGAAATAAATGTGTGCCTGATCTTACATAGGTTACATTCATTAGATTAATTGATCACACCCCACAGGGATTTTCAGGGCCAACACCCACCCATCCCACCCCAGGGGAGGACATCCACCACACAGTAATCTTGTGCATGGGAAATTAATGTCTCCTACCCCTAACCCTGTAGGAGACGGGGCCTATGGTTTATTTGTCCTTATCCGAGAAGACTAGAATATCTCCATTTCTTGTTATAGAAAGGTAGGAAATTTTCCTCAGTTATTTTAAGACTGCCTCCTGGTTAGCTCAATGGATAGAGCACTGGACTGTTGTGCATGAGGTCGAGGGTTCGATCCCTGGCCGAACCAACACTCAAGGTCTTAAAATAATTGAGAAGAATATGCTACCTTTCTATAACATCAAGAAGTGGTTAGATATTCTAGTCTTCTTGGATAGGGACGAATAAATGGAGGTCCCGTCTCCTGCAGGGTTAGGGGTAGGAGACATTAATTTCCCCTGCACGAGATTGAGTGCATTGAGCTCAGCCAGGACAGTTCAGCTCCAGGTGGCTTTTGGCCAATCTGGTTTTCTTTTACCAGGAGGGATCAAGTGCAGGGCAGCCTTAGGGTCAGGGAGCATGATCCATACTTTAGAAAAGAGGGATCTCTCTTTACTTTTCTTCACCATTTCTTATGCCACTGACAATTCTGTTATTTACTCTTTTGTCTTCAGAGTTGAGGCTGCATCAGATATTGTTGCTTTTCCTGATCTGATCTGGGATGCTCACTGGCTGTACGAAGATGAGATGCCAAAACTAGTGGCTATTGCAACTGCGCACAATGCTGTATGGTGCTGGGATTGGCAGCATGATGTAAAACAGTTGGTTGCCCAATGTGAAGAGCCATGTATATTGTATCCTTTTTTACAGGCTTCTTAGATCATAAAATGTTTCTCACTCTGAACTGAAAGTTTTGTGTTTAATCCTTCAACTTCCGAGATCCAATGAGTATTCGTCCACTTAACTCCCTAATGTTTCCTGATAATTTAAACAAGAAAATTTGGTCAAGATAACCTTCACTAGCTGACAAGCTTGTCTGCTCTCCTAGCCTTTTCAGGGAGAATTTACATGTTGGTCACTTCTGGGAATTGAAGGGTTAAGTCTAAAGGTGACCCTGGTTGTTTCTCTTGTGTTGTGGAGCCAGACACCTATCTCTCACAGTTCTTTTTTTTTCCTCCTCCCCCCCTCCTTCCTGGAATTTAAATGGTTACCAGTAATCTTTAACCAATGCTGGACTAGCATCCCATCCAATAAGAGTTACAACACTTCTGATTACTTCATGTTGCAGGAATTAGGATAAGCAGAAGTCAAGAAATTAAACCTTATTTTACAAGTGTGTTTCCTTTAGATGCCTTCCCTTGTTTGTGAGAGATGCTTTTAACCCCTTACACCCTAAGAGTGGTAAGCATTTAATTTATCCCAACAGTTTCACCCCTAAATAAAAAATTAAGGTCACCAGAATAGAGGAAAATTAATGATAATAATTTACGTTGTGAAGGGTCAGCATACTGAAAATAACTTATGATAAGCTAGAGAAGTTTGACAGTTGAATCAGGAGTTTACCAACTTAGTTCATATACAGACTAACTTCCCTCTGAATTATGGTTTAATGGCAGAAGTTAATTGGCTAGGGGTGAACTCACAGAATTGTGGGGATTTTTTCCTGTAATGTATTCCTTTGTTGTTGTTGTTTTTTTATACCTTTTAATTGTTNCATCACTCCTTTTCTTCACAACAGTCAACGTGTCATCAGCTTCAGGGTCTAAAGTAACACAAAGACATTCCCTGTAAAAGGCTATTAAATTGAAGGTTGAGATGTAGGATGAAGTTTATAACTCCAGGACTGGTGCAGCTAAGGGTTGCATATGATACATACATACATAGGTTAATTGACCACTCACCATAGGGGCTTTTCAGGGCCAACACCCACCCATCCCACCCCAGGGGAGGACATCCACCACACAGTAATCTTGTGCATGGGAAATTAATGTCTCCTACCCCTAACCCTGTAGGAGACGGGGCCTATGGTTTATTTGTCCTTATCCGAGAAGACTAGAATATCTCCATTTCTTGTTATAGAAAGGTAGGAAATTTTCCTCAGTTATTTTAAGACTGCCTCCTGGTTAGCTCAATGGATAGAGCACTGGACTGTTGTGCATGAGGTCGAGGGTTCGATCCCTGGCCGAACCAACACTCAAGGTCTTAAAATAATTGAGAAGAATATGCTACCTTTCTATAACATCAAGAAGTGGTTAGATATTCTAGTCTTCTTGGATAGGGACGAATAAATGGAGGTCCCGTCTCCTGCAGGGTTAGGGGTAGGAGACATTAATTTCCCCTGCACGAGATTGAGTGCATTGAGCTCAGCCAGGACAGTTCAGCTCCAGGTGGCTTTTGGCCAATCTGGTTTTCTTTTACCAGGAGGGATCAAGTGCAGGGCAGCCTTAGGGTCAGGGAGCATGATCCATACTTTAGAAAAGAGGGATCTCTCTTTACTTTTCTTCACCATTTCTTATGCCACTGACAATTCTGTTATTTACTCTTTTGTCTTCAGAGTTGAGGCTGCATCAGATATTGTTGCTTTTCCTGATCTGATCTGGGATGCTCACTGGCTGTACGAAGATGAGATGCCAAAACTAGTGGCTATTGCAACTGCGCACAATGCTGTATGGTGCTGGGATTGGCAGCATGATGTAAAACAGTTGGTTGCCCAATGTGAAGAGCCATGTATATTGTATCCTTTTTTACAGGCTTCTTAGATCATAAAATGTTTCTCACTCTGAACTGAAAGTTTTGTGTTTAATCCTTCAACTTCCGAGATCCAATGAGTATTCGTCCACTTAACTCCCTAATGTTTCCTGATAATTTAAACAAGAAAATTTGGTCAAGATAACCTTCACTAGCTGACAAGCTTGTCTGCTCTCCTAGCCTTTTCAGGGAGAATTTACATGTTGGTCACTTCTGGGAATTGAAGGGTTAAGTCTAAAGGTGACCCTGGTTGTTTCTCTTGTGTTGTGGAGCCAGACACCTATCTCTCACAGTTCTTTTTTTTTCCTCCTCCCCCCCTCCTTCCTGGAATTTAAATGGTTACCAGTAATCTTTAACCAATGCTGGACTAGCATCCCATCCAATAAGAGTTACAACACTTCTGATTACTTCATGTTGCAGGAATTAGGATAAGCAGAAGTCAAGAAATTAAACCTTATTTTACAAGTGTGTTTCCTTTAGATGCCTTCCCTTGTTTGTGAGAGATGCTTTTAACCCCTTACACCCTAAGAGTGGTAAGCATTTAATTTATCCCAACAGTTTCACCCCTAAATAAAAAATTAAGGTCACCAGAATAGAGGAAAATTAATGATAATAATTTACGTTGTGAAGGGTCAGCATACTGAAAATAACTTATGATAAGCTAGAGAAGTTTGACAGTTGAATCAGGAGTTTACCAACTTAGTTCATATACAGACTAACTTCCCTCTGAATTATGGTTTAATGGCAGAAGTTAATTGGCTAGGGGTGAACTCACAGAATTGTGGGGATTTTTTCCTGTAATGTATTCCTTTGTTGTTGTTGTTTTTTTATACCTTTTAATTGTTTTTCTTTAACTCTTTTTTTTTTTTTTTCGGTTAAGATATTCTGCATGTTTCTTTGGATATGATTTACAAAATTTAATCATAGCATCTGGGACAGTTTTTAATCAAGTCCTTCTTTGGAGAGTGCGAGGAAAAAAAGATGAAAGTAACCGAACACAGATTCTCCAGAGGCTCACAGGCCACTCAGGAGTTATTTTTGCTATAAACTTCAACAAACAAGGAACAATTTTGAGTTCTGTTTCAGATGACAGGAGCATACGACTGTGGAAAATAACAAACTTATCCACACTTGAATCAAATGGCCGCGTGGAACCTTTGCTTGTTGTATATGGGCATTCTGCACGAGTTTGGAATGCAAAATTGTTAGAGATGTGTTTTGTTAGTATCGGAGAGGACTTGGTGTGCAATGTGTGGAGTTATGATGGGAGCATTTTGAAGTCTTATAAAGGTCATACAGGTAGAAGGCTACTTTGGGACACCTTAAATAATTTTATTTTACATGTCAAGTACGTGTGCCAGCTGCCAACCCAAGGAAAGCTATACAGTAAAAACCTGCTTGTAAGAACCTAGTTTTTTTCATGTCTGGTAAAATAGGTTCTTATGTTTTGGGGTATTTACTGACAACTTAGGCAAAACAGGTTCTTAATAGGTTCTTAAAATATCTTTAATGCCAGACTTAATTTTCTATACTATACTGTACAATACACTGTGTACTGAACAATGTACTTAATTATACAGTTTAGAAGATTATACCTAGGAGTACATTTTTTTTAACTTGCTTTGATACATAACTGGGAGCCATAAATACAGTGGGGAAACTGTATTGTGACATGTTTTATGGAAGTATCAAATGTATAGAAAACATTTATTTTATAGTTACAGACATATTTTGCTACAACATTGTTTCATTATCCAGAATGACTCTTCATATAAGAACCATGCAG